ACTACCACCTGGGCCAAGATGCCCCCTGTCCTCCTGTTATAACTCCCTCTTCTCCTCCCCTCTTCTCTCCAAAGATAGACAGTCCAACTGTCACTCCTAAATTTTCTTTCAGCCCTTTGAAGGTGCTCTTCATTGACTTTTGGCTTGCAGAGTTTCTGATGAGAATTCTGCTATAGTTCTTATCTGTTTCCTGTACATTATTTTTTCACAAGTTAATTTTATCTGTTTGAATTTAAAAAAAATTTTGGCAGTACTGGGGTTTGAACTCAGGGCCTTGTGCTTGCTAGGCAAGTGCTCTGCCTCTTGAGCCACACGTCCATCCCTTTTTGCTTTAGTTTTTTTTCAAATAGGGTCTCACATTTATGCCTGAGCCAGCCTGGACCTCAATCCTCCTATTTATGCTTCCCATGTAGCACAGATGACAGGCAAGTACCATCATGCCCAGATTTTTATTAATTGAGATGGGGTCTCAATAACTGTTTTCCCTGGGTGGCCTCAAATCACAATTCTCCAGATCTCTGCTTCTCGAGTAACTGGGATTACAAGTGTGAGTTTGAATTTGAACACACAGGCAGGCCTGTGTTTGAATTTTATAAAATAGAATCATATAGATGGATCATACAGCAAGAGTTTGCTCATTCTTGGCCCAGTGCTGGTGACTCATGCCTGTAATCCTAGCTACTCAGGAGGCACAGATCAGGAGGATCATAGTTCAAGACCAGCCCCAGCAAAAAAGCAAGACCCTATCTCAAATACCCAACATGAAAAAGAGCTGGTGCAGTGGCTCAAGTGGTAAAGCACCTGGTTAGCAAGTGTGACGCTCAGAGTTCAAATCCAGTAAAGGAAAATGTTTGCTCATTCTCGGTGGTGCAGTTTGGCATAAATGAACAATTTATGGTTCCCCTTTCTTATTGCTGGACACTTGGGTTATTTCCAGCTCTGGATTAGTAAAATAAAGCTGCTATGAACGTTTTCCCATAAGGCTTTTGATACCCACATTTACACTTTCCTTTGAGGTATATACCTAGGAGTGGAGCTGCATTATTTATTCACATGTTCAGTTTAGGCAGATCCTGCCAAAGTTTTCCAAAGGCGCTGAAACAATTTTTCTTCCTATCAGAAGTACAGGAGAGTCCCAGTTGCTCCATGTCCTGGCCAACGTTTGATATGGCCAACTCTTTTACTATTAGTATCATTGTGATTGAATTTGCATGTGGCTGATGACTAATGTTACATGACTTTCCATGTGGTGGTTTTTTTTTTGGCAGTACTGGGGTTTGAACTCTGGGTCTCACGCTTGCTAGGCAGGCACATTACCACTTGAGCCACTCTGCCAGCCCTTTTCATGTGTTTATTGGCCATTTGACTATTTATCCCTTTTTGCTCATTGAGATTTAATTTCTGTTCCTCCTGTTTTTTTTTTCTTTTGCGGTATTGCGATTTGAACTCAGGGCCTACACCTTGAACCACTCCACTAGACCTTTTCTGTGATGGGTTTTTTCGAGACAGGGTCTCTTGAACTATTTGCCTGGGCTGGCTTCCAACCTCGTTCCTCCTGATCTCTATTTCCTGAGTAGCTAGGATTACAGGTGTGAGCCACTGGTGCCTGGCTCCATTCCTTTTATTGAGTGTAAGATTAAACATATTTCCAAATGTTTAAGAGCTATTCACATTTTCTTTTCAATCAATGTTTGTCAAGAGCTTGAACTTTTTTGAATTGAGTTTATGGTTTTTTAATTATGGATTTATGAAAACTATATTTTAAGGAAATTGGCTTTTTGTGACATAATTTGAAAATAGCTTAATTAGTGTTTTTCTTCATAGACACTTTAAATTTTCATGTGGTTGATATCACTGATATTTTCTACCCTAGAATGATTAATTTAAAACATAAGTCAGGGCTGGTGGTGTAGCTCAGTGGTAGACTACTTTCCTAGCATGTATGAAGCCCTGAGTTTGATCCCCAGCACTGCAAAAAACACAAAAAAGTCCTATAAATCATAGCCCAGGACTGCCTGCTTAAAGCCTCCAGTGGTTCTGTTCCCTGTAGATGAGACTCCAGCCTCAGATCACAGCCTATGGAGTCTTGTGGATCCAGTCCCTGCCAGCCTCACTGACTCCATCCTCAGCCCATTGTGTCCCCCACTTCCTGCCTACGAAGTGGCCTTCTTGTATCTTGAAAGCACCAAGCTTATTCCCACCTTGGAGCTTTTGCACTTGCTGCTGCCTCTGCCTAGATTGCTTTTCCCAGATCTTCATGTTACCCTCCTCAATGAAATCTTGCCTCAAATATCGCCTTCCTGTGGTCTATCTCTGGTGCCTAGAACAGGCTCCAGAACACAGCAGGTGCTTAGTAAACATTTGTTGCACAAATGAATGAAAAGAAAAAGACAAAAGTGTGAAAAAATGTTAAACTGAATTATAGAAAATAAAAGTTACTTTGCACCTTTGGAGACAGACTTTCTTTTTCTTTTTTCAGTACTGGGGCTTGAACTCAAGGCCTACACCTTGAGCCACTCCACCAGCCTTTTTTGTGACGGGTTTTTTCGAGATAGGGTCTTGGGAACTAACTGTTTGCCTGGGCTGGCTTAGAACTGTGATCTCCCTCATTTCTGCCTCCTGAGTAGTTTGGATTATAGGCCCGAGCCACTGGCACCTGGCTTTTCTTTTCTGTCTGTCTTTTTTTTTTGGTGGGACTGGGTTTTTAGCTGAGGCCCTCACACTTGCAGAGCTGCACTCTATCACATCAGCCACCCCGCCAGTTCATTTTGCTCTGGTTATTTTGGAGATAGGGACTTGAGAACTATTTGCCAGGGCTGACCTTGAACCTCCATCCTCCTCATCTCAGCCTCCTAAATAGCTAGGATTATGGTATGAGCCACTAGCACCTGGCAAGATTTTCTAAAAAAGTGGAAGAGAAAAATAAAAATGATTTGCTGTGAAGGAGATTCATCTTTAAGCCAATTTTCCCCAAAGTCAATCTGAATCAAGACCAATTAGCAAATGATCCATTTTCATGGTCAAGTTCAGAATATTTCACCTCTTGGAGAACCTGTTCATCCTCTCTGGACTTCGGTGTTTCATGTGTTTTTCAGGAGTCTGGAATTCACCATTTCAGATATTTTTCCCAACTGGGATCTGGGTAATGACTTTATTTTCATATTTCTGGAAAACTCCTACCACTACTATGACATTTCATATACCAATCTCTTAAGACATCCATTTTGTTTGAATAGTGGACATTTTCCATTCTTCTGTTTTGTTCTTAATCCAGTTAGAAAGTAAATGAACACATCTGAGTGTTTATTCTTGTATAATGACAAATAATTATGTTTAAAGCACACACACACCCCTCACATGTGTCACAAGCAAGAGTTACCTAAGAAGACAGACAAATGGAATCCTGAATGGGCTCCTAGGAAAGGACATTAGGAAAAAAACCTGAGGAAGTCTGAACAAACTATGGACTTTAGTTAATAATAGACCACTAATGGTTCATTAATTGTAACAAATGGCTGGGTGTGGTGGCACCTACAATCTCAGCTACTGACTAAGCAGAGGCAGGAGGATCTAGTCAAAAGTTCCAGACTATCTGAAAAACAAAGCAAAGAAGGATGGGGTAGTGGTTCAAGTGATAAGTTCCTGAGTTCAAACCCCAGTACCCCTGGCTACCCAAAAAGGGCCATAACAGATGAACTATGAACTATACTAGCATATGATGTATGTGTGTGTGTGTGTGTGTGTGTGTATACGGGTGGTATAAGGAATTTCTGTACCATTGGCTCAACTATTCTGTAAATATTAGCTGTCTAAAAATGTTTAAACTAGGTGCCAATGGCTCATTCTGTAATCCTAGCTACTTGGGTCACTGAGATAGGGATGATCACGGTTCAAGGACAGACTGGGCAAATAAATCATGAGACCCCAATATCCAAAATAACCAGAGCAAAATGGACTGGAGGTGTGTATGGTTCAAGTGGTAGAGCACCTGCTTTGCAAGCATGAAGCCCTGAGTTTAAACCCCAGTCCCACCAAAAAAATAGTTTAAAAAACAAGAAAGATAGATGGCTTAGAATATTCTATTTCACTTTACTTTTCATGTCTAAAGCATAATTTTAGGGCTGAGGACAAAGCTCAAGTGGTAGAGTGCTGCTTACTTGACATACATACAGCCTTATTTTCAATCCCCAGCATCATGAAAATATAATTTTAGCCCACAAAATATTAATCAATATACACTAAGTATGTTTTTTTTTTTTATACAGTTTATTCTAACTATAGGAATGATTTTTGGAAAGATTACAAATACAGAAAAGACACGTTTGTTTGTTTTGTTCTGTTTTTGCCTTGTTTTTCAAATAAAGACTCATATTTCACAAATTAAATTTTTTTTTGTCGGTACTAGAGTTTGAACTCAAGACCCTCTCACTTTCCAGGCAGTGGTCTACCACTTGAGCCACCTCTCCCCCCACCCCGCTCCCCGCCTTTTTGTGATACTGGGGTTTGAACTCAGGCCTACACCTTGAGACATTCCACCAGACCTTTTTGTGATTTTTTTGTTTTTGTTTTTGGTTTTTTTGCGATAGGGTCCCATAACTAGGCTATTTGCCTAGGCTGGCTTCGAAGCGCAATTCTCCTGATCTCTGCCTCCTGAGTAGGTAGGATTATAGGCGTGAGCCATTGAGCCACTGGGCCCGGTTTTCTTCGTTCTTTTAAAGAAAAAGAAAAAGAAAAAAAACGACTTCCAGCGTCAGCCTCATAGTCCCAGGACCCTACGCTGGTGCTTTAGCCCGTGGGCTGGGATCCGTAGACCTAGACCTCTGCTCCCCGCGCACAGTGGATCCCGGACTTCTGTGGTTGGTGAGAAACACCGTGTCTCTGCCTCCTCAGGGAGGTGGAAGAGGGGGACGGATGGAACCACCCGCGAGTCCGCGCAGACAAGTGGACTGACTTGGGCAGAGACCCGTAAATATGTTAATATATCCAGCGCTCCCGCCAGGGGGAGGCCGAGAGCCAAGTCTTCCGTACTGCGTCTGCGCCTCAGGCTCCCCGCCCGCCCATTCTACGCATGCGCGGCGCGACTAAGGGCTGACGGGAACTAGAAGATGGCGGCGTCCGCGGTCTGCCGGGCGGCTAGCGCTGGAGCACAAGTGCTGCTGCGCACCCGCCGTTCGGTGAGATGGCGGCAACAACGCTGAGTTGCAGGGCTCAAAGCTTCGTGACGGGGTTGAGGAGCGGGCTGTTAGCATTGGCGGGTCGAGGTTGGAGGTTGCAGGGTCAGGGACGTGGGAAGGTCACGGTGGAGGGCGGGGATGGAAGTCTTGGTGCTGGCCTACGGGCGAGCACAGGGGTCCCATTTCTGGGGCAGCCGGTCCTCAATGGCTTCCAACCCAGTCCTCACTTGCTGCGGTCTACTTCCCGCAGCCGGCCCTGCTGAGGACGTCTGCCTTGCGGAGTACCGCAACCTTCGCCCAGGCCCTCCAGAACGTGCCGGAGACTCAGGTCAGCCAGTTAGACAACGGGCTGCGTGTGGCCTCCGAGCAGTCCTCCCAGCCTACCTGCACGGTGAGTGGGCGCCAGTTCTCCAGATCGGATCTGCAGTCTTTCCTAGGTCTTGCTGTGACCTTGGACTCCAGTACTCCGTTTATAGTTTGGGTTCAGACTTTGGGTCATTCACTGACGGCTTTTCTTCCTATTCCTTTTACCAGCCTTGTTTTAACTTCATGTGACAGTCCTCAACTATAGTCAGCATCTATTTAGCACATGATACCTACCAGCAGGGGGCCAAGTTCTTTTCCAGCTTTTTGTTCAGCTGCCTAAATGATAGAAGTGATCATGTCTCCATCATATAATAAAGAAAATGGTATTGAGAGATTTTATGTGACTTAAAAGGGTCCAGATCTGTCAGCCTCATTGCCAAGGTCTTAATCTCCAGGCTGGACCAGGAATGCACTTCAAGGAATGGATTTAGGGACTAGGGATGTAACCCATAACCAGGCATTATGGGCTTGATCCATAGTTCTGAAGGAAGAAAAAAGGAAATGTGTGTGAAGATTACAGTGAAGTGGGCAGTTTTCCAAAAAATTCTCCAAAAATTGATTCTGGTATAGAAATTTTGACTAGATATATGAATAGGTAAGAAGACACCCAAGAAGTAATCATTTCCAACACACCAACTCCAGGACTAAATGTTTTTATTAACAAATTCTTTCAGTTTTCCAGGAACAAGTAATTCTCTGTGATATAGTTGTTTATGGACACAGGAAAATGTGGTGGGCAACTTTCTTGTTATGTGGCATGTATGAAAAAACTGGTCCAAAGCTTGTTAAAAGCTCTGTAGAGAATACTGTATTTATTTCATGGACTTGGAGATACCATAGATTTGTCAGGATTACTATTGTGCTTCCATTCCAGAGAAAGAATGGTGCCAGTTATAATCAAGAGATACTGTGGATTGTAATCCCAAAATGTTGTATCTTTTTTTCTTTAATTCACTACTATATTAATGAGGAAAATACTGGATTTAAAATGCATGTCTATGTAAGATTTTACAACTTAAGTCAGCTATGAATAAATAATAAAAGGCTAGACCATGTAGGGTAAGTGTTAATACCAGGAGGCTATTAAAAAATTAAGATTCTCAGCTAGACATGGTGGTGCACACCTGTAAGCCTAGCTGCTTGGGAGGCAGAGATCTGGAGGATTGAGGCTGGAGGCCAGTTCAAGCAAAAGTTCTGTAGACTGCATCTCAGCCAGTAAGAGCTGCGTGTGAGCTTGTTATCCCAGCTACAGAGAAAACATAAATAGGAGGATAGGTGTCCAGGCCAGCTGGGCATAAATGCAAGACCCTATTCAAAAAAGCTGTAGCAGGACTGGAGGTTTGATGCTGCTTTTCAAATGTGAAACCTTGTGTTAAAATCCCAGTTCCACCAAAAAACAAACAAAAAACATAGCTAAAGCAAAGAGCAAGGGAGTGACTCAGGTGGTAGAGCACCTGCCTAGGAAGTGTAAGGCCTTGAGTTCAAACCCAGGTACCTCAGAAAAAAGAAGATGGCTGGGTGCTCGTGGCTTATGCCCATATTCCTAGCTACTTTGGAGGCAGATAATAGGAAGATCACAGTTTGAAGCCAACCCAGGCAAATAGTTCGGGAGATCCTATTTTGAGAAATACCCAACACAAAGAAGAGCTGGTAGAGTGGCTCATGTGGTAGAGATCCTACCTAGCAAGTGTGAGACCCTAAGCCCAAACCCCATTCCAACCAAAAAAAAAAAAGAAGAGAAAGACAGCACATGCGTATCAGGTGCCAATGGCTCACCTCTATAATCCTAGCTACTCAGGAGGCAGACATCAGGAGGATTGTGGTTTGAAGCCATCCTGAGCAAACAGTTTGTGAGACCCTATCTCAAAAAAACCTATCACAAAAAAAGGGCTAGTGGAGTGGTTTAAGGTATAGGCCCTGAGTTCAAACCCCAGTTCTTTAAAAAAAAAAAGTTCCTTAATATGATAAAGTACACCAGTGATATAATAGACTAAAATTGGTTTAGTTTCCATCTTTAATGATGAAAGAATAAAATCATCAGAACAAAGGCCACATGTTTTGTTGTTTGTCTTTGTTTTTGAGGCAAGGTCCAGCTATTTTACCCAGACTGGCCTTGAAATCTTGATTCTCCTATTTCAGCCTCTAGAGTGCTAAGATTAGAGGTGTCACCATGCCCAGTTTGGGTATATTTATTTTTTTTTTTTCCAAATTGATTCTTTTATTTAATTACCTTATATTGATTGTACAAAGGTGTTTTATTGTGATATTTCTTTTTTTTTTTCATTAGGAAGAGAATTTTATTTTAAAAGTGTCATCGTGATATTTCTATACATGCATAAAATGCACATTGAGGCCAGGCATACCTCTAATCCTAGCCATTTGGGAGGCTGAGATCAGGAGGATTGCAGTTCGAGCCCAGCCCATACAAAATAACCAGAGAACCAGAGCAAAATGGACTGGAGATATGGCTCAAGCGGTAGACCACCTGTTTTGTAATTGTGAAGCCCTGAATTTAAATCCCAGTCCCACAAAAAAATAAATAAAATGTACCTTGGTCATATTACCAACGTACATTTACCTCTGTAACTCTTACTTGGTATAATTTTTTAGAGTGGAGAAAATAATTATTTGCAAATGATAAGCTTCATACCAGACAAAATAGAATCAACTAGAAAAAGACTAAGAATTTCTTTATGATAGTAAGGCCAGGTAAATGGCCACAGTTAAAATTGTCCCTGAGTACATGGGTTTGGATTTATGGCAGGCCTGTCCCCCTGGGAATCTCCTAGTATCTCATGCCAGAGCAAACCTATGGCTCCAAACCATTGTCTGGCATCTGCCTGCAGGCTGCTGGCACTGAAGTAGGTTTTACAGTGGAAAAGAAAAAGGAAAAAAAACATGCCCCTGGGTATCATTGATAACCAGTCAGGAAATAGGGCAGGAAGGAGAAGTGATGCAATGTAACTTAGTTGGCCCCTGTGCCATGGTCTCTGCTGTACCTCCAATCATAGAGGTCCTACTAGAACAGCTCTTCCCCCACCTGAGGGCCCATGAGGCCCTACACAGGGTTTGTGCTGAGTTACTCAGAGTGGGTTGTAAGTGGGGACTATGGTGATTTGTTTGTTACCTTTTCTTTGTGGCTTCTTGTCCAGGTGGGAGTGTGGATCAATACTGGCAGCCGTTATGAGAATGAGAAGAACAATGGTGCAGGATACTTTGTGGAGCACATGGCTTTCAAGGTGAGGCTTGTGAGGTCTGTGTATTCCCTGGGCTTAGAACTGCCTGTTTTGAGAATGAAGGTCAGAAAAGTTAGCCTCCTGATTCTAGGCCTCAGTTGGGGAGTGATCTCTGACTGGCCTTTCTAGAAGGAGCCACATGAACTTACCTTCCTCAGTGATTACTGATTTGATGAGGCCCCCAGAGCTGAGAAAACCCATAGAGCCACACTTTTCACCAGGGAGGCCAGGCCTGTATTGTGTACGTGCCTATGTATGGACTTAGGAAACTTCATATATATGCTCATGCATTATAGCAAGCTTATGTGTGTGGGCAAGCATGCTTGCTTATAAAATGTTCTGCTCTGGCGAAATACCTGCACATCCCTTGATGGTAGAGTAGCAGCCCACAATTTTTATAAGTGGAGGGGAAAATGGAGGAGGGTATGGTGATATGAGTAGGAGTGTGGAACCCCAGCCCAGGCAGTTACATTGTCAGAGATGCATGTGCAGATTTTTTTTTTTTTTTTTTTTTTTTGTAAACGCATGTGTGCGTGCCATGAGATGGCACCACAGTGGGGTACCACTGCCCCTGCACACATACTGGACTAGGGTTGGACCCCCAGAGGTGGCTGTTAGCATACACACAGAGTCATATAAATGGCAAGGTTCAGAGGGTAGGTCACATCACTTGAACATAGGTATGGGCTTACCTGATCATGGCTGTCAATAAAGAGATGGAGTACTGGTAAGGTCAAGCTGTTATGGGAGCTCTGGATATTAAGACAACACTTTTTCTGACCATGCCCTTCTCTCCTGACCCTGGCTATCTCTTATTGTTTTGGACCATGATGCTATGATCTCAGTTTACTCAAAGTCTGCTTAGTGCAAAGTCTGCTTTGAGGTAGGTACTGTGGACCACTGGTCCTGTTCTGGGACTTCAGCCTGTGAAGACAGAATTCCTGAGCTCCTGAGTGGCTCCTGATTGGTCATCTTGATGTCTGGCCCCAGGGAACAAAGAATCGTCCTGGCAATGCCCTAGAGAAGGAGGTAGAAAGTATGGGGGCCCATCTTAACGCCTACAGCACTCGGGAGCACACTGCTTACTACATCAAGGCGCTGTCCAAGGACCTGCCAAAAGGTAACACCTAGAGGAGAGGGTAGGATTGGAAAGGTAGGACCCCAGTGGAGCAGAGGACAGGCTCCCAGTAGCCCTGGGTTGGATACATAATTGGATAACCCATGGGTTGTAGCTTTGCTGTAGGGCAACCAGGGAGATACCAGGCTTGGGGGTTTGTGCTGTCGTTGGTCTCCTGACCCAACGTCCTTGTCTAGTTGTGGACCTCCTGGGCACCTAAACATGTCCTTGTGTCTAGTTGTGGAGCTCCTTGCTGACATTGTGCAGAACTGCAGCCTGGAAGACTCACAGATCGAGAAGGAACGAGATGTGATCCTGCGAGAGATGCAGGAGAATGATTCATCTATGCGGGATGTAGTCTTTGATTACCTGCATGCCACAGCGTTTCAGGGCACACCTCTAGCCCAGGCTGTGGAGGGATCCAGTGAGAATGTTAGGTAAATGCATGCCCCCATGGACTACATACCTTCCAGGCTGTGGTTTTGTTTTGTTTTGTTTTTGGTGGTATGGGGGTTTGAACTCAGAGCCTAACACTTAGTAGGAAGGTACTGTTATTGCTTGAGCCACTCCACCAGCATTTTTATTTTGTTTTGTTTTTGGTAGTACTGGGGTTTGAACTCAGGGCTTCTCTACCACTTGAGCCACTTCGCCAGCCCTCAGGCTGTTTTTGATTGGTTAGCTATCTGTGGTGTTTATTTTTCCTAATTCACCCAATTGGAAATAGTTTCTCTATTGCTATATGGTCCCCATGGGTCTTTTTGAGTGGCTGTGTGGTCTTCACTTGAATCTTAGACTTTGTTTAGGATATGTTTCCATGCATGTCCTGGATGGACCATCTGCATATCCCTTCCATG